AAAGCTCCGCCCTTTGAGTGCGCCATATGGAACTAGGGAATCAGCTACTCCACTGGTTTCAACCTCTCAACCTGCTGGTGCACTCCAGCAATCCTACTATTTAGGGTGCCATACAAAGGGTCCCCTATTTCTCGGCGTGGAGGTTTCCGCTCCAAGAGATCGCAAAAAAGGGATGGAAACACCGAGGCTCCCGGCTGCCAAATCTCAACTTTTGAGGCTTGCCAGCCGGCGCCTGCATCCTCCAATCGTCTGGGCACCGAGGAGGAATATTGAGGCATGGACGCATTATCTTTATTATCACTACTACTCTTATTGTTATTTTATTATTATGATTATTATTACTAGTACGATTAGTGGTATTAGTGTGGTTGGTATTGTTCCTATTAACATGGTGCCGTGGCTGTCCTCGGTGCTGACTGCCACCATGTCATAGGGTGGGATCGGCCACCACATGGCTCGACAGGGTGCTGTCCTGATCAAGAGGCTACCAAAGGGTCGGAAGGAGTCTGGCCGGAGATCTGAGATTGTGTAGGGTTTAGGGTCTCTCTTTCTTCGTCTGATGGGCCCTTACTTTTGGGGAGAAGTGGCCTGATAGGGGACGCGACGCTGAACAGCAAAGTGCAAGTTGTAAGGCCAGGGCTGGTGAGTGAAAACAGCTTCCCGCTCAAAGCGAGGGTATCTGGAGGACCTGCGCCAGCTTCCGATTTCCTCCAGACTAACCCCCGGATGCTGCCTAAACCCTAAACCCTAAACCCTTACACCCTAAACCATAGGACCGCTAAAGCATTTTCAATAGGTCCAGCTCTGAGTCGGGAGCTCACTCGCGGAAGGGTCGAGACAAAAGTCCTCCTGCTCACTGGCACCTCGGAGCACAAAACACGGCAGCGCTTAGGGGTTAAAGTTCACAGACTCGCAAAGCAGGCATGGCGGTACGGGTCTGCGTTTAGGGTTTAGGGTGCAGGATTTAGGGATGACCATGGGGTCTAGCCAGAGTCTACCCTAAAACCATGGGCCGGATGTCCTGCCGTCTGAGCCTGCTGACTGTCGCACTCCGTCTGAACTTTGAAGACGATCTGAGCCGCGAAGAGACGCACTTTAACTGGCCCCACCGAAGCCGAACATGGAAACCATTGGAGTAGTTCTCTAAATTAGGACCCCTTTCTCTACTATATTGGGGACCGAAAAGGGACCCAAATTTAGAGAACTACCCATTGACAGATGACAGCGCGCCGTCTGCAAGTCCCGCGAGCAGCTTGCCAAGCGAGTTCCACAGGGCGAGAAGACAACAAAAAGGACCTCAGATGCAAAGAATTGCGGAGGTTACAAAGATATCTGGAATAAAAGCAGGGCTGCGCCATTGACATGAGCAGCTTGAAAAAATCGACACATGTAGCAAATCTCTCGCATATGAGTCCGAAACCTCATCACTGTGCTCATTGAGTTGAGTCAGCATATGGGTGGGTGCCTGAAGTACCTGGCGAAAGCGGAGTGGAACAGCTCAGTTGCCCGGCGACTGGTGTCCATGTTTCGGTCTTGCTTTTGCTTCGTGGGACGGTTCAGTGCATCATGCTACTAGGATCACGAGCTGAGAAAAGCAAAACATGCAGCTTTCTTCGGCTGGGCCCAAGGCATTATGCTTCAGCTCTTCCTTCCACGAGCCTGAAACACCGCAAAGCACAACTTTGCAGAAGGTGCACGCGGCGGCAGAGAAGCACCGTTTATTTGCAAGCAGAACTCGTTGGAGGTGCTGATACCCAAGAGTTGCAGGAAAATGTTTTCAGACCCTCATGCCACGTTGGCAATTTCCAGGCTTGCCTCGCAACGGTTCTCGCGGTCCTCGGCTTCTGTTCACTGGGCGCATGCAGCCGAGATCGAGCACTTCGAGCGCCGTGCTCTCGTCTCTTGGGCGCGCTGCCTCCGCATCTTCAAAGCTCGACCCAACTGTGATAATGCTAGCGGCTAGCGACTGACAATGCTGCATGACTCGCGAGATCGCTGTGCTGTGGCCTTTTGAAGGGGTCCTGCACTGGCCGTCGAGGAACTGCTGACGGCACCTGTCGATGCGAAGTGTGGGTGCTTGACAACGAAATCCTGACTACTGCCCAGCAGCTTTGCTTTCGACTCTATTGCCGCTGGCACATCCGGTGAGCTTAGCTCTGTGCTCCCCAAAGAGAGTGGAAGCAGCACATCAATGGCCAGCTTCAGCAGAGCCGGCGTCTTCATGTTGTGGATTATGGGCACTCTCTTCGCCCGGAACAAGGATTTGCAATGCCTGGCAAGATCTTCACCTCGCGATTTGCAGTGCGCTTCTGCTGAGTGCAGGTCCGAAAAGTTCCAGAGCAAAGCAACTTCACGAATCGCCTTCATCCTCTCAGGCTCCTCCTCTCCGAAGGGGAAGTCTTGCCAGCAACCCAAAGGGAAGGGGACTAAGATGTCGGACATGGCATCATTTCCACATCCATTGGCACCCAGAATCGTCGGTGGTCGGCTGAGGTAGTCCCGCAGATTCTCCTGAGACTTGGGTGGCTCAAGATGCTGCTGGGATACCAAAAAGGAGTTTCAAAAACAAGGAAGCATTATACATACATATATATATATGTTATATATATATATATATGTAGAGAAGTAGTAGGCTCCTGGGCAAAAGCTTGAAGAACCTCCCAAGAAATCAAGAACTCTCCTAACTGCATTGAAATGGCTGTTTCCTCATCAAAAACGTTGAGAGCACCGTCGTCGAGATATGTCAGGACAACGGGGAGTCGGAATGGGGGACACTTCAGGAAGAGCTCCCGAGCAGTCTTCGCCACAATTACAGTACCCCCGCCCCCCTTTATGCCAAATGCCATCTCCCTAAAGCCAAAGCCCTGCAAGCCCCAAGCCTTTCATAACCTGTATCTAAAAGACCCGGATCCTTTCATCCCAGCCGCATAGACCATATCCTGCTCACAGTGCCCCTCATTGTGCGCTCGTGATCCCGAGATAACGGGGCAGCCGAGACCCTTTGATCTGCTGTCGGAGATCACCTCAGCCGGCGCACAAGAAACAAGCATAGCTTATTTATTCACGGGTGGGGCCAGGGTTTGGGGTTTGATAATCAGCAAAGGACCATGCTGTATTATAACATACTAGAACATACTAGGGTTGTGCTCTGAACAAATACCTACTGTGGGTCTATTGGCGATGCTTTGCTTGCTGCCAAAGCTTTGCGCGAGTGACGCGACCGATAACACCCCACTCAGCTTTCATCTGTTGCACCAGCTTCATGTTGAAGGCGAACACGTTTCCGAAGATAAGCATGATGGCATCATCCCAGGGATCTTGCCCAGGGAGGCTGCCAAGTATCATCGTGTTAACGTAATCTGCTATGGTGCGTCGAAGCTGTGAGGCAACCACAAAGTGATCCAGCTCCAGGTTCACCACCCAGTCAAAGCCATCGGTTCTGTTTGTCTGAAGCAAATATTCCCAAGCCGGGAGGAGTCCCACCATATTCTTTAGCAGCAGCCAGAACTGCTCGGAACGCAGCTGCTGGGTCCGTGGCAATGGGACCTTGATGATGTCAGAGACGTTCTCGCCAGGGGCATCAGTGTCAGTAAAGAAGGCATAGCCGTCGCAAGCTTGGAAAAGTTGCCGAGCGAGAGGCAGCAGGAGCTCTTCGCGAGGACGTCGAGCTGTCCACCCAAAGCAGTAGAGCTTTAATTGCAGCGCGCTCTCCTGGGAAAGGGGCTCACGGAGCTTGTTGTCCGGCTCCTTCTTGGAGCTGCAAACAACCTCACGGCCATCTTTCGAAAACTTTGTCCGGAAGCGGTTGAACATGATATCTTGGTCTGCTGCCCGGTGGATGCATCCATAAGGTTCTGACAAAGACGAGATGAACCCGGCAAACTTTCGCTTGAGACGTCTAGCTGCCTTTTTGCAATGCTGTGGATCCCGGAATGGAAATGTTCCGGCAGGACAGGAAGTGCTGCTGATCTTGAAATCTTCATCAGCAGGCAGCGGGTCGTTGTCAGAGTTGTCGGGTGGCGGCAAAACCACTTCCTCTTCCACTTGGCTTGGTGTCGTTGGTGAAACATGTTGATCCAAAGAGCCCATATCAGGTCCACCTGTGCAGACTCGCTGTCTGTCCTCCTTGTGGACTGAAGTTGAAATCACGTTAAACATGTAGTCATCGTCAGCGACTCGGTGCAAACAGCCAGTGGGTTCCTGCAGAGCTTCCAATGCTCCGACCTGGCTCATGACATGGGCAAACATACGATGAATACGACGAATAATGCTTGAGTGAGAAGAAGCCACGAAACCCCGGCTGAAAGTGCAACAACGAAGGCACACCCACCAAACTGTGTTTATTTCATGCTCGCCGAGTCATGCCGAGTTCAGCTGACAAGATGGCAGTGCTGAGCTCTACCCACAGGCTTCGTTTCATGACTCCGCTGAGCCTGCAAAGCAAACTGATACCCCTGAAGGCAGAATGTGAATCAACCTCTCTCTTGGGTTGAGGGGGCCTGCCTCTTCATGAATCAATCCGTACGGGTTGGGGGGAGCCCCGACTACCCGAAACTCCCAAAAGGCTACGCCTGCCCTTTGCAGCCCCCGGCACAAAGCGCTTGCCGAAGAAGTGTGCAGCTTTCTGGCACAGCTCTGCCGAGGTCACATCCATGAGATGAGGACATGGTTGGTCACCTCCAGGAACGAGATGGACTTTCTTCTTTAAATCATGTGGTCCTGGTAACAAGGATCCTACTAATGACGGTCCCTCACTTTCTGAAACTCGAAGACAGGGGTCAAGGACACACGGCCGGATTCTGACAGACGTGGCCTTAGACTTGCAGCTCACACCCTCTCACCTCAATAGGCTTGCTCTTGGATATCATCAGTCCTAGGATTTTGAGACCCTAAACCCTATACCCAAGAGTTTCTAGTTTAGCCTCAGGGCCGGATCCAGGAATAATTTTGGTTTAGGGTTTGGATAGGGGTTCCGATACGATTCAGCGATAGGATCGGCCTATTCCGCATTTGGGGAGATAGGGGTTCTGATAGGATTTGGACTGGGGGGGCGATAGAGTTCTGTTCAGGGTTGGGGGTTTCGATAGGGGTTTCAATAGGGGTTCGGATAGGGGTTTGGATACGATTCCCCACTCCCTGGGAGGGGGGGGGGCCCTGGAAAAGCTCCG